AGTTCCGAATCTCCATATGCAGATGAGCACCGCAGGGCGTGGAGCAGGGTGGCTGCACCTCTGACGCTTCTCTGGTGGCTCTACCCACTATTACCCCTGCTCTGCGGACCCCGAACTCCCAGGGAGGTCCCGCATGGCAAAGCAGCATGCCCTTCACCCTGCAATTCTTATCCAATTACGTATCTGTTCACCAAAGAGCAACTACTTCCAATAGGATAACGTGGCACCGAACAGAGTCTGTGGTCACAGCCACGAGGACCACGGAGCCAGCGATAAGGCAGCAACTGAGAGGGGGATGTGGTGACGGGCACTGGGCGCAAACCCAGCCACGTGGCGTGTCGGCTGGGCAGGGAGTGGGGTCCGGTGTGTTATTCAGGCTGATGACAGGTTAGCCAGTGACATCAGGAGACGTGGGGGGCCTGTTCCCACAGAGGTGGGTGTTGGGCTGAACGTCCGTGTCCCCCAGAAATTCGCATGATGAAGCCCCAAGCGCCAGTGTGCTGGCAGGAGGAGATGAGGCCTTTGGGGGGCGGTCAGGGTCAGGGGAGGCCATGAGGGGGAGGCCCCCGTGATGGCACTGGCGCCCGTGTAAGAGAGAAAGACCCCAGAGCTCGCTTGCTCGCTCTCCACCGCGTGAGGACGCGGCAAGAAGGAGGCCGCCTGCCAACCAGGAAAGGAGCCCTCCCGGGGGACCGAGCGTGCCGACACCTTGACCTTGGGCTATAGCCCACAGAGCTGCGGGCAATAAATGTCCGCTGTTGATGCCCCTCAGCCTATGGTGTTTTCCCCCAGCAGCCTGGACTGACTGAGACACTGGGCACGGGAGCCCGGCCAAGGTGCCCCACGCCCCACCTCACTGACCCACGCTGGGAACCGGAGCCACGTGAAACCTCCTAAATGTGCCATTACTGAGAACCTGCATCTTAAGGGAAAATCCTAAAGAAGCTCCAACCCCAAACTCTTTCTCTCCAGTCTCCCCTTACAATTAGACTAATGTATCTAGGCTAACCTTCAGGGTATAAAAATATTTTTTTTTCATTCAAAGATACAGTGAAGGGACAGCAAGACTTGAACATAGATGACTCTCTCAAGTTAAAATCAGTCAACCCCAAACAGGGGACCTAGGGAGATGGCCCCTAATGAGATGGTCCACCAGCATCACTTGAGGCTGAAACAATACCTAAGCCTCCCTCCAAACACACGACAAGAACAATAAAAGGAGCTAAAAAGAGTGGAAAGGAAGAGACAAAGTTATTGTTATCTGCAGATGATGGGACTGTCTGCCTGGGAATCCTAAAGAATCCACCAAAACCTGAACAGAGAGTGTGTAGTTCAGCCAGGTGAGCAGTTTTACGGAGTTCAACACGCAGATATCAGCAGTTTCCCCAGAAAAGAGCAAAACCCACAAGAGAATGCTTTGGGGAAAGACTCTACTTAGGAGGAGAATAAAACCGTGAAATAATGAGAAAGAGAACAAAAGACCTATATGAAGAAATTATGAAACTTGACTGAAAGTCACAAACTGCTATAAAGACATCAATTCTTCCCCCACTGTGCCCCAATTTGTTAACAAATGCGATGTAATTCCACCTGCCGTGGCGTTCTGCTCCTCTGTGGGCGTTGTAGGCGTGCTGTTCTGGGGTGGCTGGGAGACCTGAATAGTTAGTTCGCTCTCTCCGGCCCGTGTGAGTGGGTTTCTGCGCACGGCACCCACACCACCAGCTCAGCCTCGGCTGCCCTCTGCTTCTTGTGGCCAACGGGTCCAGGAGCTCACATCCTCTCATCCATCCTCCTGCACCCCTCTCCAAATGGGCTTTTGAAGCTTCCTAGGGGAAAAAAGTTTGCTTTGCTTTCTTTTTTTTAAAAAAAAAAAAAGCTTTTTTTGCAGTTTTGACTTGCCACAATACCAGCGTTGGCCCCGAGTCAACAACTTCATGCTGTTAACTGGCTCCTTTCCCATGACTGCTAGTTCAGACTCACAGACGGTCTCTGATTGGCTGAGCTCACCCCTCGGCTCAGGTTTCCACCTGGACCCCGCTGGCTGCAGCCAGGAGGAGCAGAGTCCCAGGGAACGCTGGGCTGGTACAGGGTGCTGGTGAGAGAGGCAGTGGCTGACTCCGTCACATAGGTCTCCTGTGACTAACAGCTTCCATTTATCAGACACCCGCACGGAGCCAGGCTCTCGGGGGTTTCGTCTCATTTTAACTCCTAACATTTCTCCATCCCCCTTGCCAAGAAGATTCTATCATCACCTCGGCGGGAAGAAAACCACCTTCTCAAGGCAGGCTACTCTCTGCAGCCACTTGGCCCGCTGACTGGTCAGTCAAAGACAAGTCCAGTTGTAAGTCCCAGGTGCTGGGGTTGCAGAGCCACTCCCCCCAATCTGGTGCTAACAAATCGTGCCTCTGGGCCTGCAGGTCTGAGTCTCTCTCTCCTTCTCCCCGGCCTGGTCCAGCTGCTTCTCTACCAGCCAGCCACCCACCCGTATTCACCTGGCGACTCCCACCATCTTTCCAAGCGATCGCGGAGCACGGTGGCTCCTCAGGGAGACCTGGGTGAGCCTGCAAGCCTGGCTGAGCCCGGCTGGCCTGCCTCCCCTCTGAACTGCCACCACATTTTCGTGTCTGAATCTCTCCATTTTCGTGTCTGCCTGTCTGGGCCTCTGCACCCCCAGCCTGCCAGCACCAGGTACATACGTGTAGTGGAGTTCAGTAAACACGCATAGAAGAACATCGAGGGTGGGGGTGGGGTGGGGGGAGCGCTGGGCAGGGAGGGAATGGAGACACTGTACTTGAACAACAATTAAAAAAAGCAAAAAAACACACTTATGAAACAAAATTAAATTAGTGACGCTCCGGCTTGCTTGGGCGCACCCTGGGGACACTCCCTCCTTCCTTCTAGGATGAACCCTGCAGCCCAGGGGAACAGAGAGGCCCCTCCAAAGCCAGGAGCCTAAGTCACTCCTCCTTCCTCGGGCTCCACGAGGCCGTAGACTCAGCACGCCCGGCGCCCAGGCAGAAGACGCCCAGTTAGAATCTTCCCCGTGCTGTTAGCTGGACTTCTCCACTCCCAGGAATCCTCCTGAGAAGCCATAATTAAATTCGCCCCTGTGGTTCAAAGAAAGCCCGAGGCACCCTTGACCCGCGATCGTGGCGAGAAGGGTGTGTGTATCCCCACGGACCATCGCAGCCCTCCCTCCACTCGCGTTCTGCACCGACGGGCCAGTGCTGCTGAGGGAGAGCTTCCTGTCCCCTGAGAATCCGGGGACACGACTGCCCGGGAGCTCCTGCTTTGCAGGGACAGCCCCCCTAGGGGGAGCAACCTCACTGCAAAACCAGACCTGCTTCCAGACGGGTCAGCGCGGGAGGAGAGGGGGCCGTCAGGGCCAGACACGCCCAGCGAGGGAGGCCCCCCCTCCACGCCCGCTTCCTTTCTGTGAAACGCTCAGAGGGACAATGGGGGTGCTGGGAACACAGGGCATGGAGGGCATTCAACCCAGTTACATAAGCACTTGTTTTGTTCCCGGCTTCCTTTCCTTCGGGGCTCCAGGGAGCTCCGGAGAACACGGCATCACGACCTTCCTGATTCATGTGGCATCTGTGCCGTCCCCATCTCAGGAAGCTCTCTCTGGAGTGTCCCCTCGAGCTGCTGCCCTCTTTTCAGCGGGGACCACAGGCCACCAGGTGCCCGGGGTGCCCTGGCGGGTCCCTACCGCCGAGGCGATTCTTAGTGCCAAAGTGATTCCTTTGAGGTTTCTCTGATTAAAGACCCATCAGAGGAACCCAGAGCTCTGCCCCCACCCACCCCTCCCCCGTCCCTAACAGGAGAAATCCCCTTACACCAAACAACAAATACATTTTCAGATGGATTTTTGAGAGTGAATCCTCCCCAGCACGCCCTTCCTTCTGCCAGGAGCAGCCTCGCCTCTGCCCCAGGCATTGCCTTGCAGGCTGCCCGTGGCTTCCACCCCGCTGTACACCTGCACCCCAGGCACGTGTGTGTGAACATGCGCGCGTGCGCGCGCACACACACACACACACACACACACACACACAGGGCCCTGCCCTCCTCTTCCCACCACGTTCCCCCCTCCACCTGGATCCTCGGCGGAGGAGCTGGCAAAGGGGACAAATCGGATGCTGCACAGCTGGATGCTGTGTTGTCACGGAGCCTCTCGGGGTGCTGAGGACGAGATGCAGCTCCCACACGGGTCTGTGCGTGGCAGAGCTCAAACAACAGCCAGACTCGGGGGCTGGGGGATCCTGCCGCCTGGGGCCCCGAGGCAGGCACGCACCCGGCCCCCCGGCCTTTGACTCCATCCCCCCTACAAGATGGACCTCTCCCGGCTGCCTGTGGAGCCCTGTGAGGTGAAGTGTGCGAAGCAACTTACCTGTGACGTCTGCAGGGGCGGAGACGGGGTTGGAGAGGGGCCGGAGAGGGGCCAGGCAGCTTCTCCAAATTGCAGGTGGTGGTAAGCAACCCTGACAGGTAGCAAGTCAGCGTGTGGAGCTCGGGGAGGTGGGGGGATGGGGGAACCACCTGCCCCCGGAGCCTGGGGGGATGCAGAGCGCTGCAGGTAGGTGGCAGAGGTTCCCTCATCGGTGCGATACCCTGTGCGAAGTCCTGAACAGTGTCTGCTGAGCTAACCTGAGTGACACGTGCCAAATGCAAATGCATCGACACCCTCTTCTCATCCTTCAGGATGAGTCCTAATCCCCCAGCGACACTTCCAATCTTTGGCGCCCCAGGGTGCAGCGCTCCAGCCCCCTCGTAAGCAGAAAATGCATTGCGAGTGCCGGTGGGCGAGTTAGGACTCCCCGAAGGGGACCGGCAGGATGAGACTGGGCCTCGGCCTCCCCAGAATAGCCCCTCACGGAGGCGCCCTGGTGTTTCGGCTCTCCCCTTAAGGGGAGGAGAAAAGAGACACCTGGTTTGCAGGCCTTTGACAGCGGGCACGTCCCCGGTTAACAGAAAGGCAGAGACGGAGGCAGACACCGCAGTCACGCATCTTCACTCCATTTTATTACAACGTCAGGGGAAGCAGTTGCGGGGGACGGGGGGAGGCAGGTGTTGGGGGCGGACACAGACAGGAAGCCGCTCACAGCCGCGTGGTCTACACCTTGCTAAGAGCGGGGAGGGCCGGGTGTCTGGACATGCAACGTGGGACTGCAGTGCGTGTGCGCAGTGGGCAGGCGATTCCTCTCTAGGGGGGTTTCTTTAGCTTCTCGACAGATGGTGGCTGCACTCGGTGTCTCCTGGCCGGCTAGGAAGGGTCTCCCCTGCTAGGACTGGGACCCAGCCTTCTTCTTCTGGAATTTTCTGAACTGGGACTGAATGGCCACCGCCGCCCGTTCTGTCTCTGGCGCGTCCATGTCGATGTCAAACTCTTCTTGAACTTTCTTCTGCCCATCTGCAGCAAGAAAAACACAGACATGAGGCCACCCCTGAGCTGGAAGCAAGCAGGAAGCCAGACAGCAAGCTGCAGAACAGCCCAGGCCCCCGGCCACCGTGAGGCACTCACGGCCCCCAGCACGTGACCACGTCTGCAAAGTGAAGCCCCCTGGTGCGTGGGCTGACCCCCGCCCGGGTCGGCTGTCTGCTGGCTGCCCGAACTGCACACCTGCCCAGCAGGAGGAAGCTCAAGGACCCATCGCTACATCTCACACACTTGCTGTGCGTGGTTTTCTGTTTCTCACGTCCGTATTTTACATATTGTGCTAAGCGTATCAGCTGTGCTGTTACTTTCTCCCAGTATTTCATGTAGATGCAGTTGAAATGCTGCTACAGATATTAACCCAATGGTAGCTGGTGTTCACAGCAGCTCTGAGTTAAAACCATTGGGTCTCTGGGCCAGCTTCCCCGGCCGATGAGATTTGTTTATTGAGTTAAGACTTCTGTTCGTATCACGGTCACGAATGGATGTCACCATCTGACCTTCACAAGGAGGCTGCTTTCACAAGGCTTAACATTTGGTTCCAGCGAGGCCGGCTTAGCAGTTTGTTTGCCGAGGCAGAAAGACTTGACCACTGCACAGTGTGATGACGGTTGAAAACACAATAGAAGCCAAATCACAGTAAAAACGCGAGCTGGTGCCCCTTGGTGCCGTGTACCTAACCGAGCACTAGCCAACGTCCCGCCAAATCCTAAAAACAAATAAATAAATAAAATGCTCTAGTCCGAGGAGGGAAGAACCTTTAAAACTCCTCAGTCCAGTGAAAGCTGATCATCAGAGCCACGAAAGTCACCCTTGTTTTTTTAAATCCAGACCCGGGCCCACCCCAGACTCAGGGTTCCCTCTTCACACAGCCGCAGCGGGGAGGGCTCGGGAGAGCGAGACCGAGTTCAATCATCGTGTCACTGGGGGCGGGGACCCGACAGCCCCCTTTTCTAAAGGGCTCTCAGGAATGCATTAGGACTGAGATTCAGCTCCTTTGTCTGCAGATGAGGTGACGAGCAGGGTCTGCGGGTGGCTCACTGCAGAGCTGGGGACGGACCCACCCCTTGGCACCTGGGCCATGGCCTCTCTGCCACCTGGCCTTGCCCCTGGAGCCTGGCAGTGGGAGGCGCACACCCAGACGGAGGGCGGGAGAATCAGGGACACTGAGGCAGTATAGAAAGTCCCCAGGTGGGGGGCCAGGGGGCAGGGCAGGGGCAGGGCTGCATTCCCGACTTTGGCACCAGGCTGCCTGAGTGCAGCGTGTAACACGCAGGAGGCCGGCCTGGCCCCCTCCTCCCTCAGGACGGGGAATGGCAGCGTCTAGGCAGCGCAGGGGCATGGGGCGCTGGGGCGACCAAGGAGTGGGGCAGGCTGGTCCCTCCTGCTCGCTCTGCTCCCTGTCTCTGTCCCAGATGCAGATCGATTGATCGATAGATAAAGACGTCAATAAGAGATGAATGATAGGTTAGCTAGATAGATAAAAGAAGATAGGAGTTTATATCTATTTACGCACTGATATGCACATCCGTATGCCCTTCTTACGGATGTGTCAGGCTGTGAGATGCAGCCCCCACAGCCCACGGAACAGCCTCCCCTCCCCTTTCCCAGAGACCAGCAGCTCCCGCCGGGGGCCCTGCATTCAGCCCTCCGTCCGGGAGGAGAGGACACCACTTCGCAAGCCCTGCCGACCAATCACTCCGTGACCTAAATCGGCAAAATTGTTTTCCTCTATCCCAGATTTGCTGCCCAAGCCCATAAAAGCAGAGCTTTCGAGTGCATCCTTGTCGGGGACTATTTGGGGGCCGTTGCTTTAACCCGTGAGCACCCAGATGGTGCCCGGGCCTGTCTTCTGCCTGCAACCGGGAGCCGTTCACTCTCCGATGGGCTCTCCAGGGGCCCTTCCTTCCGGGCATCTCCTCGGGGGTTGGACCCCCGGCAGGGGCCGGAGACTCCTGAGGCCCAAGTCAGTGCTTTCAAATGCTCCGTGACATTGAACAACAATAAAGTAATTTTAAAATAATAATAATAATAATAATAATAAATAAAATTTAAAAAGCAAAATAAAATGTTCCACGAGCAAAAGCACAGGAGCTGGGGCCGGGGAGCGGGTATCCCGCAAGCCTGAAAGGGGAACCAAGCCTTTGGTACGAGGAACACCTGTGCACCTGTGCAGGCAGCACCTGTGCAGGCAGCGCCTGCCGGCTGGGGCCTGTCACCTCCCTTAGATGACTGAGCGTCCCCCGGCTTCTCTCTCTGAGGACCCCCTGTGTCTGCCGGGTCACGACTGCAGCGGGGACAAGCTCGCTCTGATCCCAACAGAAACGGGAGAGCTGTGTTCTAGGTGTAAAACGCCACGGCCGCCCGCCGTTTTGGGAAGGGCCTGATTCATCCCTTTCCTTTTATAATAACACATAAAAAAAAGCCAGCAATATTTTTCTTGACAACTGATAAATGAAATTGCGGGAAATTATGTATATTTAGGGAGTATTTAATGAGACCGTAGGACAGGCCATAAAAACAGATTTCACAATTATATCTTAAACTAATACCTTCGGCCAGAAGTGATGTATAGATTCCTGCCTCGTTTGAAAAATAGTAGGGCGTTGAAAAAACAAACCACTCATATTTCAGGAATCATTACACTCCATTGACTTGGAAGCCGAGCGCTCCCTGGGCACAGTCGGCATTGTTCCTCACTCCCCTGTGCTGGCCGGGGACCGGCACGGCAGAGGGGGGGACCCGGAGTGTGATGGGAAGGGGCAGCTCATCAGATTCGGCGGCACGGGAGTCCTGGGACCTGGAAAAGCACGGCTCGGAGCCCCCAGACTCAGCAGGAGCGAAGGGGCGACAAAGGATGTGACCTGGAGGGACCGCAGCCTTCAGGACCCAGCCCTCAGAGCCACTCTGCAGAGCCTCGGGCCTGGCACTAATTCGAGTCATCGAGTCATCGAGTTGCCGCCAAGGCTCCCCGTCTGGGGCAGTGGAGACCGCAACCGTGGAAGGGCTCACGGCGGCCCCTGCAGAGCCTCCCCTCCTCGCTGTCACTCCAGGACAGAGAGAGGGTGCCCACCCACCTCACCAGGGACCCTCTCTGCTGCAGAAACCCAGACAGAAGATGTCTGCTGGGAACAAGAAGGGCACAGGGATGGGGTACACCCAATGGAGCAGCCAGTGGGTGCTCCCCATGGGGCGTACCCCATGGTCTCACCTCGCATCATGGTCCTTCGTGGGACAATCACCACCTTACACCCCTTCTCCCCGTCCTCCCTGGTCAGCGTCCCATCACCCTCTGCGGCGCGAGCTCCAGGAGGGGGAGTCGTCCCCTGCCTTGTTCCAGCAGCCCACACAGGGCCCGGCACGTACTAGGTGTTCAGTTAGTAATGGTTCATTGCAAGCGAGCTCAGTAATTACCGCGCCAGGCAGCGGTCCAGTGCACGCCTCTATCTGGACGACGAAACCCAGTCACCCGCCGTGGTGACCACGGCAGCTCCACAGCAGCGTTGCGGGAGGGTCCCTCACCCCAACTGCCAGCACCACGTGTTTAACGGAGCGGAGCGGGGGAGGAGTCTGGGAGGTGCTGTGCTGTGGCAGAGCCTCCTCGGGGCACTGTCCGCAGACCACACGGCGAAGACGACAAGAGTCTCCTCTCCTAAACAGAAAACGTGGCTCCAGTGGAATGGCTACGGAGGTATTTCAAGGGGGGAGACTGGCGGGAAGTGGTCAGGGCCTGGGTGGAGAGCAGGGGGCACCGGGGACCAGGGACAGGCACCTTCCTTCACAGACGCAGCTCCTGAGAAACCCCCACCACCGTGTGGGCTCCCGCGCCAGGGAGCTCTGCCACCAGCGCCTGGCCGGGGGGCCTGGCCTCGGACAGACCGTGCCTTGCAGCCGTCTCGGGAATGAAGCCGACTCCCTCCCCGCCCTCGGACCCCCTGCCCTGCCCTGCCCTGCCCTTGATGCGGCAGCCAGCGAGCGGAAGCAGGGGTGCAGGCCCAGGAGAGAGCAGATCTGGGGCCGTCTCTGAGTCTCTGTGGCTCTCGGGAAGGTGCAGAGCTTCTCTGGATCTCAATGTGTTCATCCAAAAAAGGAGAAGCCAAACCTTTATTTATTTAAAAAGTCTGACCCGCCTAGGCACCAGTGTCCCGAGCAGGTCCAGGCCGTTTGTAAATAGAACTGCAGGGGGAGTGCTGTTGGGTAGGAGGTGCAGGGACCACAGAGCAGCCAAGGGGGGCGTGGCAGCCACCTGGTCCCCCAGCCTCGGAGCCCTGCATCTGCTCGGTGGTGAGGCTCTCGGACATGGGGGTCCTGATGCAAGGGGAATGGGGGGGGCTTTCCAACAAGGTGGCCACGCATCCCTCAGATACAGCTGGGCCCCGTGTGAGGCCCGCCCCAGCCTTTCGAAGGATGGTGACGGGGTGGCCCCGGCTGAGACGCACAGAGCATGGAGACGACACCCAAAGGCTGTGCCTAAAGACCCGTGCCGCCCAGGACTCAGGGGCCCTGGGATGACGCCCCTGGGCCAGTGCAGGAGCAGGGCCCGGCCCCCGGAGCTGGCAGGCACGGAGAGCTCCCGGGCCTCTCCGCAGGAGGGAGGGACAGCAGAGCTCAGTGCGCAGTCACCTGCAGGCGGCCGTGCAGCCCCGTCCTCGTCCCTCTCCTTGGGGCTTCATCAGGAGGCCTGCGGGGGCGCCGCCTGACGTTATGATCTAGGGTCCCGCTGCCTGCAGTGGGCAGACCGCATGGGCACCCTGCCCCCGGCGGGAGGGGGGGGGGGGGGGGGGGGGGGGGAGGTGGCTCTTTGTCGGTCTGAGCAAACAGGCAGCATTTCACCGGAACGCTCTGTACGCTGCCCGGTCTTCCACCGTCATTGCTTGTTTCTGTCTCGGGGTCTGGGATTTCTTCATTTCTGTGTGTGTCCTCCTTGAAGAAATTCTGAAGCCGACCAGGATAATGGTCCAGAGAGTCCTCATACC